TCGATTTGAGCCGATTTTTAAAAACGAATAACTCAATATTTTTATCTCGATATTTCACTAATACATGTCCAAACCTTCGTGCCACCTATGACAAAAATCTTCAAAATTAAAAAATTTTTTTAAATAGATTTTGTCAAATTAGATTTCAATCGTTTTATTTACCCATAGCCGTTTTGCCCCGAGATGATATCTATTATATAAATCCTTATAGTTTGACTTATATTTACAAACTTCCAATAAACTTTATTTCATAAATAAGACTTTATAGGACATGTCTATAAAGTTTTAAATTGATATGATAAATGTTATTTTGCTAAAAGCAAAAATAAAATGCTAAGGTTGTGTCCTGGTTGGATTTATTTTTAATTCCTATTGCTGTTTAGCCTAGCCTAAACAGCTCTTGATCTAGGAAATCCAGTTTTGGTTTGTTTTAAGTGTTTGGTGGCATTGTTTTTTTTGTTTTTATTTTGTTTTTTTTCTCAAACATTTTGGGCTGTTTGGAAAAAAGTCGAACCAGGACACAGCATAATAGATAATTTTTGTAATTTATGGGTAAAAACTGTTTTTCGACAAAACATCAAAATCAGAAACATTTCCTCAAAAGATAAAATAAGTAGAGCCCTGTAAAGTAACTTTTCGCGTCCCGAACTCGATCCGAGCCCGACTTTCAAAAGATTTTGCTATCCGAACCTAACCCGAGCCTTAGCGCAAATTTTTTGTTCCAACCCGACCCGAGCCCGACTAAGATTTTCTTCGAATTTGAGTTTAAATATAGGAAAAATTAAAAATTATGTGTATTCGTATATTGCCACTATAAATAAAAGTATATTTAACCCCCATAAATAGGTTTCGAAAATAGAAATTACATAAATAAATGAATGACATGTGATTTTGGGGAAATAAAATGATTATTGAGCGTATTTCTAATATTTAATTTTCGAATCGGATCGGGCCTCGTACGAGCCAGGAAAAAAAGTCTTTAATGTTTGAGCCCGACCCTAGCCCCTTCTGGGTGGTGGTCCATGCAGGCCTCTAGAAATATGTAAGAAATGCTATTATAAAAATATATCTTCATAAAGAGTAAAAAAGTTATTCGCGTTATCAATGTTACCTTCATCAAACACTTTACCCCTGTCTTCTTTACCAGAACCTGGATTCTTCAAAACTGGGATAAATCTATGAATCGGAACCTTCTCTTTTATAATTTATAAAAACCAGAACCAATTTTTAAAATTTCCGGGAAACCGGATCTGCAACCAGTTTTATATACTTATAATAAATATTTAAAATGATGCTGAGATTTAATTTTAGGGAGGAATGAGGGGGGGGGTGGGTATTTATCTTTGAGATTTTGTGATTGCCTTACCCGAGTTTGAACCTAACCCTAAACCTGAAATTCTGGGAACCGCAACAAATTTAAGAAAGGTGAATATTCAAAACTCGAACTAGAACTCCTTTTTTAGTCTAGGTCCCAAACACTGGTTTCTTGCCGTGCGCGTGATTTCTTATTTTCGAAAATTATCTACCATCCATTATATTACGTCAACATTGTTAGTTTTTAAAATACTTTTATATAAAACTCTATGTCATTGATTCTGGCTTCATTACAACTTGGCCAGAGCTTTAACTCCCTTCGCCTAGAATCGAATTTGGTAGCGACATCAAAATGATATTCGAAGGTCCTGAAGCCCATCGCCTGTCATAATCCGAATAAATTTTTTATTTGACTCTTGTTAAAGTGGATCTTATTTTTATTGTTTACTTTTATATCCATTTTATCTTTTATTATGCTCTTAAATATAAAGCCAAATGTTTGTCCATTTGAACATATGATTGTAGTTTTGAGGAATTTTTTTTATGAATATCCACATCACTCCAACCTTAGACCAAACCCTTCCAATTTTCTAGTCTAAGATTATGGCAATTGATTAATCTGCAAAAAATAAAAGATTAGTTACCAAGATTTGCAATCTTCGTTAAATTAAACCAGACAATATATTTTACTTAAATGTATCATTGGATATTTCGAATTTGTATAATTCAAGTAGTTATTGTAGACCTTTCACTTAAATAAGAGCTAAAAGGGTTAAGACAATATACCTAGCTATATTTAGAAAATATTTGTACTAGATCCTCGAGATCGACATATCATTGGATGCTTGGTAGCCAATCACGATCATGGGAATGTTTAGATTGTTTTTAGTTTATTCTACAATGAATGGTATCCAGCTATCCGACTTAATATATTCATACTTTATTTACAAAAAGCATCTACATCATACCTTACGTTTACATAATCAGGGGGAGGGGAAGGGCGATAATCAACTAGAAAGGGCATGGTAATGTAAAAATAAACAATATTTGTAAATTATGTGCAAGATAATTAGTAAAATAATTAAATGCTGAATTAAATTTTAAGTTATTCATTCACAGATATAATTTAACACAGTTTACTCAGGACTAAATTTTAGATTGCAGCTAGTTACAACCAATTGATTATCACCATCTAATGTTTATGTTATTCTTAATTCTATTCTAATTATCATGCTTAAAATCTTTGTTGGGTGGAGTTTATGAAGTGGTTCATTTAAGTTGGATAATATTTATAATAACATCATAAAAAGCTTCTTTTATAGATACATTCATTTACTATAATATAATAGCTGGAAAACAAAATTGATTTTAGACTAGTGGAAATAGATTTTAAAGAGGTGTTTGCTTCCACAAATTTTCTGTCTACAGGACGGTACCAGCTCAACCCAACTATCTATTGTACTTTTAATGTTTATAATACCACTCGAGATTATCATGTAAGACTAGAATAAGCATTCTTAATCGATGCCACTGCCAGCCACATTAATATCAACCTGACAATACGAATCCTCCTAAAGTCTAGAAACTCGACGTAAGGAAATTAGTAACAATTGACATCAGTTATCTAAAAAGGTATCATAAAAATAGGGAGATTTTCAACAATCATTCTATATCTTCAGGAAGAGGATTCAGACCATTGGCTTGATTTCACATGTCTCGCAGTAAGTACTTTATCATTTTATTGAATTGACAGAAATAACCATAAAATCACATCTTGAGACGATAATCCAGATAATTCAATAAACAAACAGACTACACAATAAACAATATAGATAGCATGCTACACAATAAACAATATAGATAGCATGATTTCGACCCATTTAACTTAGATACCGACTCGAGACACTTATCTTAGTTTAGCGTGCAGCCAGTGGAAGAGGACAAGGGATGCACATCCCTTTTCAAAACAAGATTTTTATAATATTTTTTATAATGAAGAGCCTATAAAAAGTGCTCTCAATTAGGTAGAATGACCTGAAAAATATATTACCTTAAAACGTCATGATTAACTTGATTTCTTCTTCAAAAGGGTCTTATTGATTTAGCTGAAAACCACAAAATATATTTTATTAGAGCTTAAAGAGATACGAGTTGTTGATGAGAAATTTCATGAATTATATTATAGCTGAGTTCAAAGTATAGTTCATAAATTCAATATCAACTACCTCAACTCGAATTAAGACAATCTCATTGTTCAAATATTATTGTGGAATCAGTAAAAGAATATTATAAAGTAAATGTTAAATATATATCTTTTTTAAGTCAAATAAATTAAAAGTTTTTGATTCGATAAGCATCCCTTACAAATCTAAGAGTATAAACCGATTTTTTAGTCGAAATTCTATTATCACCCTCCGGGTTTTATACATTTAATATTAAAACGCGGCATTTTTTGTTCGAGATTTATATTTGATAATTTTTGAATTTAATATAGTATATTCAAAATTTTATAGGCACTAGTTTTAATAAATTTAGGAAATGCCATAACTCCAAGATAAATTTTTAGAATCTTTTGAAATCCCCCGAAGGAGAATTCTTGGCTAAACGCCTTTAGAATTTCGATCCGACGACTATTCAGTTTAACAAGCTTACGATCAAAACATCAGTGGCATCGCATAACAATGATATTTTCATTAGAAATAGCTAAAAAGAAATATAATAAATTTACTAACAAATAATATTATTGCGTTAATTGTAGTTTTAAGGTCTTATTCATTCAGAAACAAGCTAATATTCTTTTTAAATAAATTAGCCAAAAGAGTCAAAAACCCCAATTTCAAGAGCTTTTTGATTGAAGCAAAAAACAATAGTTTCCAAATCCTAATCTATAATTTCTTAAAGATACGTGGTCTATTTTCCTTATATAAAAAATATACAAATTAAAAAAATTTTAAATGCTCCATCTTCCGGGAACTTATTATATATTATTATAAAAATTGTTTAATATATATAATTAATTTTTTAATTATACGAATCTTTATGCAATAGTTAATTTTGTAATACATCTTTTTGAAAAATTTGTTCTTTTACAAATAGTGATTATTTTAATGGTTGAGCAGTCTAATTTAATGGTTGTTAAAGGAAATGATTTTAATCAAGACATCATCAACAAAAGCTCTCAGAAAAATTAAAATATTTGATTGACACTATCCTACCTTAATCAATAATATAAAAAATTTAATATGAATATTAACAAATAATTATTGTTTGTTTAAATATTGTATGCATATTATAAAAAAATTCCTACTAGTAAAGTATTCTTATTCCTTTTTGTTTTTAGCTCAGAATAAATATAAAAAATTTAATAGACAAATCAATCCAAATATATTTCTTTATTATTTAAATTGCCTCCATGTCCATATATATATAATATTTATATAAATATGATTCAAAATAAATATTTGATATATAAATAAATATATTAATTTAATGTCTGAATAATTCTTTATAAGTTATTTTTTTACAAATACAATTTCTATTTATTATTTCAAAAGTAATATCTAATTAAATGTATTAAAAAAGAACATGTATACTATTAGCTATACTATATCTATAAAATAACAATATAAAAAAAGCTACGAAAACCAAAAATATTATAGCTTAAAAAAAGAAAAGGAAGGGATAATACTATTCATATTAAGTCGGATGGGACTTTAATTTTAATCGATATTCTTTAATGAACATAATAACTCTTTCCCAATTCGCCTGTAATTAAACTTCAATTATTTTAAATATTTTTGGGGCTTGAGACCCGAATGAACAACATGTCAGATTACAGAAATGAAAAAAAGTCAGATCTTGAATTTCCCAACTTCAAAAATAGAGCTAGTCGGGCAAGATGATCGATGCAAGTGTAATCCCAAGCACGTACAGCTTGATTCAAAGGATGAAGGTCGTCATCTAATTTGATTGTCAAGGCTGAGGCTGGAGAATTCGAGAGAAGTTATTAATGGCTCTCAAGGTTCTATATATAATTCATATAGGTAGTATTTCTCTTGAAAGGTGACAATGAAGGTGATAATAAAAAATCCTAAGTTACCATTAAATTAATAAATTAGCAATAGGATTTGCATAAGTGGGGTTATTCGCATAAACATCTCCTCAGGATAAACTTTTTTGTCTACAAGAATTAGAATAAGTATTATTAGGGGTTTTCCATCTCCAAAGGTCTAAGGCTGAAACTTGATGAGTCAAAAATCCCACGTGACCCCTAGACTTCTGTTGATTTTAACAAAAAACCAATATACCGAAGGATATTGTTGACGACTTCAATCTATACGAATTTAGGATTAAGAAAGGGTTCGAGAGCAATTTTTAGGGTGGAATTTTATATTAACAGTATATTGATATGAATGAAAATTGGGAACGAGCGAAATGCATGCAAATTTTAAAAAAAATTAATTGTTTTTAATTAGATTAAAAAAAAAGGTTTGACGTGATTAAAGGATTTCTTTCAAAGCGATTAAATTTTGTGATAAAATTATTGCAAAAATTAATCTGCATTCCACTGCTGTCAACAAAGAACCGAGATAGGTAAAACTCCTCTCTCCGTCAATGATCATTAGTTGTAGGGATATAGTCAAAATGAGAGAAATTGACATTTTTTAGGTTTAGAGATGAGCCTGTAACCAGGTGTTAGTGGATTTACAACTGTTGACATTTTAATTATTTCTTGTAAGCCGCTACCAATATTTAAGATGCGCAATTAGGGTTAATTTCATCAATGATAAAGCATAATACCTTGGCAAAATAATGGTGATTTCCCGTGCCACATGCTTTGCCTGAAGAGGATAGTACCTATATTAAATTTTAAGGAAAATTTGATTTATACAATTTAAAACATAGTGATAAATCATTGATTAATTATATAAGTACACAAGTTTTCTTATATTTCCATAGATATTATGATAGATAGCCCATGGTTCTTATATGTTTTCGTACTATACCCTTTGATCTTACTCCATTTTCTATGATTTCACAAATATTAATTGTACCTGTGAAAAAAAGGGAATGAAATCCAATAATGGTTTAGCAAAATTAAAAAGTTTTACGATACATTAAACAATATAAAATTATTATGAAATAGTGTAATAAATTTTGAATAAATAAAATAACTTTAAATATTAGACATATTAAATTGTGCTTATCAAAAAAAAATTAATTAGATATAAATTTATTTTTTTAAGGTAAAATATAAATGATAAAATAGAAAGTGCTAGTAATTTAAATATATAATTAGGCAATAGGGAATGGGAGTATAATAAACACATCTTTTTCATATGCATGAGCTATCTATCATACTTAACCCTTGAGTGATATAACGTCTTAATATTATATAATGACCTGAGTTTTTTTCAGGACCCTCCTATCCTAAATTATGTCTCAGCATAATTTCATTGATATTTTTTTAGATATTAACGTTTTATTTTAGCTAGGGTGTTCTAAACTCAATATTGGTTTTTTTTCAAAAAAATTAAGATTAAATAATAAATTTTTTTAAAATGTTTTAAATAAATGGTATCATATAAGTGGTTTCCAATTCATATTATCCTGCCTGAATGGGTTGGTATTTCTTGAAACTTATATTCATATTAACATCCTATCAATAATATAAAAAAATAATCTTTTAAAGTTATCATTAATACATAAAAGATTAATGATTGTATAATAATAAAAAATAAAGTAAGATTTTTACGTTATGAAACATGAAACGTAACATTCTTTTATCAAAACAGGAACGCAAAAATTCCCTGTTCAAAAACCGCGGTTCAAAATATTAGTAACAGTTTGATACTCTCTTTTTTTAAACGGTAAGGCTATTGTTCAAAAATTTTAGGTTCAGTTCGAAACTCTCTGGGTATTTAGTTTTAATATCAAAAATATTAAATGTAATAGTAAGTAGAAAATTTTTCAGTTTTATTTTGATTACACAAAAAAAAATCAAAATTTATATATATATTAATTTATTTAAAATTATCAAAGTTTATCAGCAAAATTTGGGTGAGATATTAATAGTAGTTTTAAAATTAGCGTGAGCTATACTACACACAGTCACTGGCATTATTATTTTCCACCTTACCACTCAAGGGTTATCTATGGTTATTCCTAGAAAAAAACATAATTTTTTTTAAAAAAATAATTATATACATACTTGAATGCTCAAACGCCTTCTTCCGAGTGCTGTCCCACAGATTGTTATTATTTTCAATAAAAAATGTTGACTGGAAGTAACAATTAACATAAGATATTTCTATACATAGTATTATAAAGATATAAAGCATTAGTTATCAAATATTTTTATTTATTTTGTAATTAATACTTATATATTCAAATTTAAAAAATATTTAAAAAAAATAAAATAAACATTAATTTGATATCAATGAGGTGATAATTTTTTTTTTCTTTCAAATATTATATTCCAAGATCCTATATAGATAATATAAATAATGCTTATTTTGAAGTTGGTTTGTGGTTATGCTTATGATATCTTGATATTGAATATGAAAAAAAATATAAAATATTGGAAAAACAAAGAATAGATTGTAAAATTAGTATTTTATGGATGTGCAAAAATACTGATACTAGAGTCCTGTAGGTCAGAGCAAAATCATCAAAAAAGTAGTCATCCATCGAGCCCATAACCCGAAAAATATATATGTTATATTCTTTCCTTTTTTTCACTTAATAAATTTTAAAACAAATCAAGAAGATAGGAAATATTTATACAGTAAAATTTTCTTATAATATTTTGTTTGTAATAAATAGAACAAATATCATAAAATTGATTATCAACTTGATTATTTAAATTTAATGTATAACACTTTAAAATTGATGATTAATTTGAGTTTGAAAGTTTTTCCCTTACATACTCTAATTTTTTAAAATTCAGGCTATAGGCAAGCTCGGGTCAAAAAAAATCCATTTTGCAGGTACCTACCAATAATTCTCTAAAGTGTTAAGTGAAAAATAATTTTTCCTAGGAAATTACTTTTCGTGATTCCTGTGAAAATATGTTTTTTTAACTTTTAATGCAAACTGCTAGATTCTTAAAGTTTAAATATTAATTCTATAAAAAAAATTAAATAGGATTGAGCAAGGGTTTACAAAAATATTTTAAAAAATCAATCACATCAGAATAAATAGATTTCTGCCTGTCACTTTCAAATTTATTTAACCAATAGCAAGAAGTTAAGTATGGCAAGATTTTACTGTATTTGGATACATTTTTAAAATTTGACAAATAACAGCCACTAACAAAATAATTCAATTTTTAACTATACACGCCTCCAATAAATTTCTCAACATAAATGATATATAGTAGGTAGTCGATTTGTAAGAAAAAAAGTAAAACTTGAGAAATAAAAGTATCAAATTCCGCATTCAGTTTAGCAGTAGTGCACTTTTAGGTTGAACCTCTTCTCCATCCACCTCTGAATCCACGATTTCTACCACGTCTCATCCCACCTCTCATATTTCCACCCCTGGGGCTAAAATTGTCGAGACGTTTTAGTCGATTGTTGCCAGTTCGCATTAATACAGAGTTATTACTAAATTAAAAAAGTGATTAAAATCAGAGTTTGAAATGCTACTTCAAAAATAAAAATCTTTAAATTTTTTTTATGTCTTTAAATTTTTCTAAGTAAATTTTTAATGATTGAAATCACAATGTTTTTCAAAAATAAATCATCATTTTTTTGCTATCTGCTACAGACTTTTTTTGCTCAAAATTTTGGGTAAAATAAATTTTTTTAAAATATTTTTATCAAACTCTGGGTTTAGAGTCTATAGGTGCGATTTGTTTTATGTAACTGTTATTATGCAAAAAAATGAATGATACCTTCGATTATTAAGGAGTGAGGTTATATTAATGTCGGATTCGGATGCAGCCATCTGTATATTCATTGGTCGCCCTTTATAATAAATAATTAATCATGATTTTTTGATATAAATAAAATTTCATAATAGAATAAGAATAAGTCTTAAAAAAATATGGCTTATTTGAGCATGCATTCATTTTTACATTAAATATCTGTTTCCATGCAGATATTTTTTAATAAACCAATGGTAAATTAGCAATATTGGATTGTTTAAGGTACATTAGAAATCTATCATGTGTTATTAAAATATTTGCTCATTTATAATATTTTTTGGTTAATCCAAAGATAACTGCTAAGGCCTCTTTTCAATGATTGAATAATGTACCTCCTAATTCTAAAAATTTTGAAAAGAATAATATTTTCCTTTTTTCAGAAGCATCTACATTAGGTACAATATTGTTGGTTGTTTAATCATACCAAAATAGATTCCTAGCTAATTTTGTACTTTAATTTAGGGCCATTCCACGTCAAATCGATCACGATTCGACTGACCCCTTTTAAAATTGTTAAAAAATTTTGGAATTATTTAGAAGGGTACATAAATGAGAAAGCCGTTTATTTTAGCTCTCTAGCACACATGGTTCTCGAGATATAAGGGCTCATAGGTACAAAAAAGAGCCACTTTGGAATCTGTAAAATTTTTAAAAAGCTTATATCTCAAGAACTATTTATAGTAAAATGATATATAATATATCATATTGTAGGTAAAAAAAATCTCTAAAAGGCTATCAAAAAATAATAAAAATTGGCGCCAATTTGAATCTTTAACTTCCGGTTTATCTATAATGCTTTACCTGTATTTTTAAGCAAAAAAGGGAGTTTGTTTTCGAAATTTTTTTATTGCTTTTTATTTAGACACCTTTTATAAATATATATACGATGTCAAAACTTTGGCGACGCTATCGACTCCAAAAATTTAAAAAAATAATAGATGGCGCTTTATGAAATGACGGATTTTGGTTAAAATTTTGCTGCAAACTTATCAATAAACGAATATTTTCACTTTTTATACTAAAAATATTTTAAATTTCTATTAAATATACTAAATAAATTGAGGGGCAGTGTGGGTAAATGCCCATTAGACACTTAATAATGTAATATATTTCCAATAATAAAATCTTTCGTATAATTTTTTTATTATTCATTCATATTAATAATATAGAAATAGAAATAGACAATCATATTCATTCCATAATTAAAAAATTTGTGAAATATTATATTTAATATTTGCGATTGAATAAAATTTTGTTTCAATTTTATCCTGAGAAATTGGATAAAAAGCATGAAATTTTTGCGTCCCTGGTATAGTACGGGCTTTGTCGAATCTCTCTTTTAAAATTATTTGTTCTTTCTCATATTCATCTTCCATAATATAGGAGATGGGTACCACTACTGCCAACAAATACACAATTCTCGGGACGAAGATCACAAAATTTAGAGAAGCCAATTTTAATATTTGAATGAATATCTTTAAATTTAAGATATAGCTCTCGTAAATTAATTAAAATTAATCTTTTTTGGACTTGAATCTTTTCACTGTTCTTTATTATGGTTACAAAATCCCTTTTCCCAGGCATCGATCTACTATATTGATCATTGTTATAAAAAGATTTGACAATATCAACGGTGGCGGCATCTATTGTTTTGCTGGGTTTAGGATTAGCTGTTGAAAAAAAACCCTTTTCTTTTATTGAACCTTTAGATTTTATCGCCATATGATATGAAATATTGAATTCTTCTATAATTCTTCTTACTGTCCAATTTGATGGTAATAATCTATATTTGTTTGTTATCGAAAGCTGTGGGAAATTGATTTTTAAGGTATCGAGAATTTCATCGAATTTTTCATCATTTGATGAAGATAATGGTATAATTTTAGTCGCTAAAACTTTTTTCACGCTAGATATTTTTTTCTTTGGCTATTTCTTTTCACGTAAATGTTTTATTTTAATGGGAGATTCCCCAATTGATTGTAGGGATATATTAATGTTTTCAATTGCCTCTTGATTAACTATATGAGGAGGAGAATCAATATCATTGTCATTATAAGGAAGCTTTGCTAATTTTTGTCGGCATGAAGAGCATATTAGCATATTTAAATTGATTGGTAAATTTTTTTTGGTCATCCAAGGTTGAATCTTTCTTAGATTCTTGCGATAATATGCATGTTTTTGTAAATTAAATGGGTTACAACATCTTGATATTTTAATATTTGGCATATCCATCTTTTGTATAGAATAAAATTTTATTTAATTTGAACCTAGAATATGGCTTGTTTAAAATTAATCTGATCGGAAAAAAAATTATATTAAACAGAAAGAGAGATTGTTTTAAACTTTTAATTTTTTAAAATATTATTATCGTAAAATATAATCGATAATATGTCTAATATAAATTCTTTTTTAATGCAGCTGTTATACATTACCGTGCCAAAAAGCCATTCGCTATTATAGTAGTAAAGCAGAGATCTAAAATATGTAAAAAAAATTAAGGATGGTGGGGGGGGGGGCAGAACTGGAAAATTTTATCGCATTTCTTATAAACTTATAAATATTTTTATTTTTAGAAATAATATTTTTTTAAACATTAGCGCCATCTATTTTTTTTTACGATTTTTGATAAAAATGTATATTTTGGAAGAGTCGATAGCGTCGCCAAGGTTTTGACATCATACATATATTTATAAAAGGTGTCTAAATAAAAAGGAATAAAAAAATTTCGAAAACAAACTCCCTTTATAGCTTAAAAATACAGGTAAAGCATTATAGGTAAACCGGAAGTTAAAGACTCAAATTGGCTCCAATTTTTATTTTATTTTGATAGTCCTTTAGAGATTTTTTTTACCTACAATATGATATATTATATTATTTTTTACTATAAATAGTTCTTGAGATATAAGCATTTTAAAAATTTTACAGATTCCAAATTGGCTCTTTTTTGTACCTATAAGCCCCTATATCTCAAGAATAAGGTGTGTTAGCGAGCTAAAATAAACGGCTTTCTCTATTATTTCCCCTTCTAAATAATTCCAGAAATTTTTAACAATTTTAAAAGTGGTCGGTCGAAAATGGGCCTTTTTTGATCGATTTGACATGGAATGGCCCTTTATTAAAGCTCATTTTGACGTTCCACTCAAACTCCACACCTTTTTTGGTAAGATTAAATAATGAAGCCACAACCTAAAATAATTTATAAACTGAAGGTAAATTTATCGTGCTTATGATGGATTCAACATCAGTCTTAGTTTCAGGATGGCATAACTCCATAAACCTTTTAATATTTTATGTCAAATGTTTTAATCCTTGATCATTAGTTCAATGTTTGAACTAGGTTAAAAAATTTTCTCCCGAATTGCATGGAAGACCTTTATCTCTAATAAGTTTAAAACATTCTTCCAATTGGAAATTATGTTGCTTCATGGTAATACCCATAATTAGTAAATCATCTATATAAAGTGGATGTGAACTATTGACATTGGGTTAGCTGAAAACATTGATCTAATATTGATTGAGGAATGAGTATAGGGATGTTTATTGTCAGGGGAGTGGAGATATCGATTATCAGTCTTCACAAATTCAAATTAGCTGTTTAGGGCTTTAACTAAAATACCATGCCAAGATGTACTAGAAGGAGCTTTTATAATTTCAGTAAGCGGCAAAATATCTATAAAAGTGATAATCAATAATATTTGTAATTTAAGAGATTAGATCTATTGTTAATGAAGGACAACATTGAATCCATATAAAGAAATGGAATGTTGGTGGAAAGGTGACAAATCATGATGCTGGTAAATATAACATTAACATAAAAAGTGAGACAAAAGGAGTTTCATTCATATAGTATTAACAATGAGTTAAGAAAACATTTCATTCAATTTAACCAAAACCTTTATATACTTTAGCCTACTATATATGTTAAGCTTATTTTCTAGCAAATTACATTGATAATTTATTTAAACCCAATTTTCTTAGTCACATTAATATTTTTATGTGAGATTTTTAAAATTATTTTATGGCTACTATAGAATACTAGCTTATAATATTTTATTTATATAGCGGAGTTTAAAATTGTTTCAATTATTTCATTTATAATATTTAACATAAACTATTTTATACTTTAACCTACCATATATATTATACTTATCTTCTATAGCATATTGCATTGACAATTTATTCATTTTTTGCATCAATATTGGATATTAATTTTATATATTTTTAAAAATTACAAGGTTATAATAAAATTAATTTGCAAGATTATTCCAGGATACAAAATATTTCCTATTTTATTATATTGATCCTATTAGAAATCCCAAAAAAACAATGATGTGTTTAGGTTATGAATATCTGGTCAATTTATTAACCTAAAATACAGAAATTGTAGGGGCAGAGAAAAGCTCTCTTTATAGATGTTGCTCAGAACAAAATATTCACAAAATATAAAAATTTATATTATTCAATACAACATTATCATTTATAAATCTAGACAATCATAGTTCTTCAGAACAAATATTAATAAATAATCATAGTGATATAATTGTGTCTAAAATTAATTTTTGTATTATATAAAAGGTGCTTATTCATATGAATTTATTGTATTATAAATTTTTCATATTACATATCAATTTATTGTTGATATATTGTATTGGGAATTAATATGTTGTTTATTGTTAAAGTGTGAGTAATATTTGTATTAAATTATTAATAAATTTTTTTTATTCAGAAGGGAAGAATGATATAAAAGAAAAGAAGAAAAATATAATTATTTTAGATTAATATTTCTGTTTAAAATTGTGAAATAGAATTATGTTTTACTCAATATATTGAAGTAGTGTGTGTTTCAACCGCATTGCTATTGGGTCATTCCATGTCAAATCAATCACTTTTCGGCCGACCCCTTTCGATTTTGATGAAAAATCGTAGGCTGGTTATATATGTTCCCATTAGATTAGAAATAAAATTTTAGCGGATGAGCAACTATATTAGCGGAGATATTCGGGGTTAAAGGTCTAAAAAACGTCTTTTTTTGCTTTTTAC